ACGCCGGTGCACGCTTCCGTGAAGAAGTCGCTTGCCGATGTTGCAGAGTCTGCCACTCTGGAGAGTGACCACCGGCATCAGCAGCAGCAACAGCAAGAGTCTGAAACGCCAGCAGGAGCAACAGCAGCAGACGAGGAGGCGAATGAAGGTGTTCGTGGTGCGATTGTTGCCGGTGGTGAGACAGGTAGCAACGCCCTCACGTTGCAGCAATCCTCTGTTGGTGAAAAGCGTACGGTGGAGGCGTTAGATTTGCGCTGGAGTGACGTACGCCTTCTTGTGGAGCGCACCGCTGCGCTCACAAGCCCGCCGTCGGAGCGTCACCCACAGCAAGAGAAGATGGAGGTGTTTACCGGAATGGCGGTGTACCTTCGCACCATTGCCACTGGACAACGCTACAGCGGCAGCGGCAATGGGAGGGAAGAGGAATTAGGTGGTGGCAGCAGCAGTAGCAGCAAGAGTAGTGGGGATGCACCAGCCGATGTGCAGCTGCAGCTACAGCAGGACCAAAAGGGCCTCTTCGCTGAGGGCTACGGGCTTGATGTGTGGGGGCGTCTTTTCGCCCTCGTGCAGGAGCTGCGGCAGGATATGGAAAAGTTCATCGCCGACAACGCAGCACACCAGGTGGAGCCGGAGTTCGAGTGCTGGGAGGCGCTGCTCATTACGCTGCGGTGTACCCTCGACTACTGCGTTGTCTGCATGCAGGAGAAGGGCAAGGGCGAACGCGAGGTGGCGGAGCGGCTCTTCCGCGAGGCAGCGGCGCTTCGGAAGGAACTCGTGGAGGAGAGCCGCACCCGATTCGAGGGACGGATGCGCATTTTGTGGCTGCAGGAGGCGTGAGTGTGCGGTTTGTAGTGTTTGCGGGGCGGGGGCTGTAGTAGTGATGTGTGTCGGTTTCTCTGTGGTAGTGGTGGTGGCGGCGTGGACTACATTATGTGAGCAGCAGCGGGCGGCGTTGCAGTAAGAATAAGAGGCAAGGGTGGTGGAAACCGCAGCTCCCCCAAGGTCTGCTGTGGCACTTGAGTCGTCCTTTTTTTTTTATTGTCGTTCTTTTTTGTTTTCCTCATTATTGTGCTTGTCGTGACCTCTGCACTCAACATCGCACAAGGGCGATGGCAAACCCGGGACGATAGGCATCCACCCACACACAGAGAGAGAGACACATATAGATATATATGAGAAAAGCCCAGGCATGTGCGCCGCGGTGTTGTATTCAACGTTCGTGTTCCCCTTTAGTACACTCTGCCCCTGTGTGTGAGCGTCTTTCCTCACCCCTACTCGCTGCTTACACCCGTCGTGCAGGCTCGCCGGAAGAGGTCTGCAAGGGCACGGTGGTGGCGGCGCAGCTCAGCGTCCGGGCCGCTGCAAGCAACAGCCACAACAGCACTGGCATGTCACAGCCACCGCAGCTGTGTCGCTGTAGTGGCGCAGGCACTGCTGTTACTGCCCGTCTCTACACGGGTGCGGCGTCTGCAGCTCTCTGTTGAGTCCTACGTGGTGGATGCGGGAGGTGTTCCTTTTTCTTGTCGACGCGGTGCGCAAGACGTGACGACGAGCGGCAGCAGCAACAGCGAGAGGCGCGCCGCTGCGGCGGTGCTTCATGTGTATCATGAGAAGGCACGTTTAACGGTGAGAGTGGGGGGAGAACAGAGTGATATACACTACCATCCCTAACTACTATTATTTTTGTTATGACGTTCTCTTTGTGTGGGGGATTCGGGTTCCCTTTCATACGCACTGCCACTCTCTCCGTCGTCATGCCAACCGCTGCAGGGATTGGGTTGTGGTGCCGCGCTCTCAGCCTTGCGACGACGCGGAAGCCAATAAAAATAAAATGAGGTGACGTCTCACAGTGTGTCTTCTGTGCATACCTGTGCGTTGTGTATTTGTTTGCATCACACACTCTGGCCTCTTGTGGTCTGACCAGTTCTCCATGACGTCTTGCTTGCCTGAGAGCGCGATTGCGTCTGTGTGTGTGTGTGTGTGTGTGTTGGGGATTGTGGGCGAGGGAGTCCCCGCCCCCCTACTGTTGATCCCGCTGTTGTTGCTGTTGCTGATTTCTTGTCTCTTGCCTCTTGTCTCAATTGCACATCCACGTACGCGAACAGTATGCGTCGCCCCTGTGCACTGCCGCGACGCAGACAATGAATCAACAGCACCACCTAAAGCAGCAGCAGCAGCAGCACTACTCGGCGGGCGCCGCACCGCTGGACCCCGGCGGGCCGCTGATGCTGCAGTTCCTGCGGTACCTGCCGCTGCTTCTGCAGGTGGCGACCCACCTCCCCGGATTCATCGCGGGGTTCATCGTCGCGTGGCTCATCTTCGTCACAGTTGTGGGGCGGTCCGCACTGTGCGACGAGTACGCGCCAGTAGCTGGCTTTCACCTCGTCGCGCTACTCCTGCTGCGCGAGCTCTTCGTCCCGTGGAAGAAGGGGCGGGAGGCACTCGCCGTGGTACGACGGCGTGTCGCGACGCAGCGCTCCTTCGCGCAGGATGTGCAGCTGCAGTGGCGCGAGAGGTTGGACTGAGGCGGATAGACGTTGTGCGTGTGTGTCTGTGTGTGTGACGTTGAGAGAAGGGGATGAAGGAGAGAAGAGATGAAATCCTTAAGAGGCGCAGCGCCTTGCCTGTAGTGTGTTGTTGCTGGTGGTGCTGCTGCTGATGCTGTTG